TATTTATTTATTTATTTATTTATTCATTTATTTATTTATATTTATAAACCCATGCAAACATTTGCAATAACGGTGATAATAGTAATCATTCGGAATACTTATTTTAACATAAACTTGTTATCCCTCACTGATAATTGTGTCATATATTATTGTCAATTAGATATAAACATATGTACATTTATCTGAAATATCTGGTATTCAAATCATATCATATATTCTGCTCTTGTTCACCTTGTCTGCTTTTGTTCTTCTTTTTACATTCAGTCGTTCAATTCATGCACATCAAAAACAAATCTATACTTACATTTCTTCTGATGGCATATTCGAATTGTTATGTAAATTAGTTGATCAATCAAAGAACCCTTAAATGATCGATTTTAAGTGAGAAAAAGCAGGAAAACAATCAAAAATTGTTGTATGGAATGTGGAAGTACGTAAATATGAATTTACAGTGTAGGGGAAGGATGTATGATTTATGTGCAGTAATGAGAACATCGTTAATAAAGTGTTCGATAATCTCAGTGCTTTTGTTACTTTGATGATTACGTTGTATGGGAGGTGGAACGTATAGATGCTTATACATATATAGTTGATGAAATAATCCACAGAATAATCGAAAACATCTGTTCACGTTTTTGAATGAACAGTTGAATGGATGAGTCCATAGCCATAACCATATTGTGGATAAAAATAATGTTGTCAATCCCATCACTAGTTATAATGCCATATGAACTGCAAAATTCTTTTAATGAACTTATCAATGTCAATTATATTCAAGCAGTAGTTGCACAGTTTATCCAGTAACATGTATTTGTGTTTTTTCTGGCAGCGATTAATTTATTAATTATTAGGGTAATTGTTCTTATTTGTTATGAATAATCAGCAGTATTTAGACTACCCTCACATAAAGCACATTACTTTTCGTAACTATTAATTTTGTATTTACCAAAAGATTTAGCTAGCAGCAAGCCGAATCAATGACCATAAATAATAGTAATGATAACAATAGTGATAATAATCCATTTGACCGATTAAACTTGCCGATTGATTAAGCGGTATTTGAAGCAAATATATTTTGTAATTCCCCTTTTCTTATCCGCTTCGATGTAGCTTATTCCAACAGGCAATTAACGATTATTAATTTGAAGAGTATTCTTCATCAAGATAAAAACAGTCATGAACAGCAGTAATTATCGTCACAAATACCTCAGCTGTCAGTGTTGGTATTATTGTTCGTAATAGTAATGGCAGAAGTAATAGTCATTCGTTCGATTTGCATTAGAAGTGGCAATACAATAGGGCGTTTTTGTTATGATGGAGCAGGCGGAGTCGAAGGTGAACGCTGAGGCGGCAGCCGTAGCGCTGTGGTCATAAAGAGTGCTCCTCCTTCCAATTCTTCTTGATGCTCTTGTTGTTGTTCATCGTCTCATCACCGTTGTTGTCATCGCCATTTTGTTGTATTCCTCAGAGTACATAACCACTGCAGTCGTCATACTTTCAATCCTATCATTCATTTAATCATATTCGTTAGTTCCCAATTATAACATTCATCTATCCCACCTAACTTGTATCTTCATTCATTTATATTCTTGTTTCATCAACAATCACAAGAGCACTGAAAGCGTTAGCAGCAACATCATCATCATCAACAACAACAACAATACAGTCTCTGTCATTTGAATTATCAAATCCTCATCTCGTCCTGTCATCAACTGTTCAGCGATCATAAACCCTCTTTAATGTTGTTTCATGCATTATCGTTGATCGGTTGGTTAACTGATAGAGGAGCACAAATTATTTAGTAGCACTGTTTACGCGCTATTAACTAGATATTTGTTCGATCGGTTCAAGTTACGTTGGTGGAGTAACAGCCAGCAGCTAAAGTATATTCACTAGCTGTTCAGTTATACCCTTAGTTGCTAGTTGGCTGTGCAAAGAGGATCATATTGTAATCTGCGTTGTTGATCGTGTATTCATTTTCTTATTCATATTCTGTGTTCTGTTTCGTATTCGATTTGATTCATTGCTTGAGAGCATTTCGTTACGATCGCATTACATAAAGCCCAACTTAACTGAACCTGTATTACAATTGAATAATACATTCTATTTGGTTTTATAATAATATCTTATTGTTTGTTAGTTATATAATACAAGTATTCCTTCAAGTTGTGTGCTGCTCGTTGCTGTTGTGTTGCTGCTCTTACTTAACTATTACTGTTCATTTTTTTGTCACCAACATCGCACCACCTCTCACATTTCTTTCATTTTCATTTCATAACACTTCCATCCTCACTTCTGGTTGGCTGATTGATTGGGAACTGGCCGACTTTAGTAACGAACAACAACACAAGTTTTTTTTTTCTCAACGAATCAATCTTATTACCATTCGAGTGCAATATTTATCAGTGATTATTCGTTAACAATTATCGTCATTCACACTGCAACAATTATCGTTTAATTCTCAAGCAATTCATTCAATTAAAACTATTCAGTATTAAATTGTCAACAAAATGTACAAAGTGCTGCGTTCATATTCAAAGAAGGCTGAACGTAAGCATGAATTGACTCGTTCATCCACCGGACAAGATCATCAGCAACGCCATACTTCAACAAATGGCATGAACGCGTCAAGTATTAATGCTGCAACAAACAATGCCGCAAATAACACATTTGCACTAGCTGCTAATGACGAAATGCGCAATGGTCAAGTGGTACCATTAGAGCGTCATAATGAGATGATTAATACTGTGTGGACAACTGGTGGTGGAGGTGCGGCAGGTACTCAAGCATTCTCGGAGAGTTCCTCGTATGAGGCACGAGAACATTTTGAACGTAAAGTACAACGTGTTAAGAAAACACGTGGTGAACGTGATAGCAATCGTAAGTCTAAGAAGAGTAAAGTGAGTTGGTTCATTAATTGATCACTTGCGTTGTTCTTTTGATAGTTTGCGTCAGATTTTTGAATGGATGAAATGAAAATCGAAGTGACCATTAGAGGTCGTTTCCAGCCAAAGAAAATCTCGCACCGTCAACATAATGCAAGTTCCAACTCTCAAGAATATAACATTCAGTTTGAAAATGAACTGTATGGAACTTCGCTCCAAAAAATAGTTTGAAAGATCGCTGGGTCGTAATTTTTCCACCTGAAGCGCCGAAAGTGAACGAATTTTGAGTTTTATAATGTTCTTGACGTCATCCTTAAGATGGTGTCTTTTTGCCCGAAAACGATCATAGTGAAGAGTCTTGAAAAAATTAGGCTGAAAGGTCATGCCTTCAGTATCGTGCACTCAGGCACCTTAGGCAAAAAATAGTTCGACCCAGCGACCTTTCAGGTTAATTTTCTTAGAGCAGAATTTCACACAGAATGTTCTTGGGTTAGAGGGCGTCTTTTTGAGATGTGAATACCTAAAAATTCTGAAGTGCGAGAACCGCAAACTATGGCACATCAAGCGAAAAACGAAATAGACCAGTTAACTTTCGAACAGTTGTTTAAAGCAGAACTTTGTCTAGATCAAAATACATACTTTCATAAACTCGAACCTCAGAATTTCCGAAATTCGAAAAAACTAGTCACCCTATTGTACATGTATAAGCGAGGACAGTCCATCATTTCGCAGTTTCTATTGGTTGAATCTTTACCACAACAGTTCATGTTCTTGAAGGGAATATGTTAATTAGAGATTCCAACTGAAATTTTGCTCTGAAACAAGAGTGATGATGATATTGAGGGGATAAATTGAGCTATTTCGGTCATATTTAATATAGCCTGTTATCTTAGTTTTGATTCATTCATGGTCGTATGCCTAAATTCTGATAGTAATAACAGTATATAATATTTGTTTGTTAGAGCAACTTATTCGTTCTGAAATGAGCTAACATTTTCATTTATTCTTAAACAAATAGTGTGCAATAATCCAGAACGTAAACATCGCAGTGATTTCCGTTCGATTGTAATAAATGATACACATACACGTCTCAGTCAACATTCCTCTTGGATTCTTTCTCTTCAGTACTCTGCCAAGAACAAGAAAGCTTCTGTTTGGCTTGTTTTATATCGTCTTATTTAGCCACCGCTATTGATGTTATCTGTCTGTCATCCACATGCTGTTTTATGTATAAATAGTCGGTGGATTGACCATTAGTGTGGTTATTCACAGTGCAGACGATAACAAGCAAAATGGGAGGAAATGAATCATCAGCAAAACAATATTATCATCTGAATTGATCAATTCTTGCTGATATCATTGGTTTTACGGGATAAGAAATTGAAGCAATTAGTGCATTGCAGCATTAGCAAATTGACTTAAATGTACACCTTTGAATGCTGAAAGACAACATTTTTTCATTTTAGGTTTCTGATGTTTTGTCGAGTGTTGATGGTGGCGTATCGGCAAAAGATGCTCTATTACAATGGGCACAAGATGTAACTCGTGGTTATCCGGGTGTAAACGTACGGAATTTCACAAGTAGTTGGAGGGATGGTCTAGCATTCAATGCGATTCTACATCGTTATCGACCAAATTTGATACAGTGGAACAAGGTGAATTAATTGATATTATATTTTAGTACTGAAGTAATGTGAATTCAGAAATCGAATTTTCGAACAATCAATCGGCACAGCAACGCATTCATTTATTCGTTTTACTTTACACATTCCTGCACATCTCATGTGTTGTTTGTTAGACTGTTTCGTTTAGTGTAATAATTTATTGCTTTTTGGAACATTCTTTTGTTTCGGCTTGTTGTTGAACGACATATTTCATTCATTTCATGTGATCCTTAATCAATTCAGCACTTTCATGTTTTAATCGAAGTTTTTCAACTGTAAACGTGATGAATACAGTTCATGAACTTAATTTCAGATCAGCGATGAAAGTGTGTCCGCACGGGAACGTTTGAATAATGCATTCGCAGCAGCTGAAAATGAGTTTGGTGTATCGCGCTTGCTGGATGCGGAAGATGTAGACGTTGAAACACCAGATGAAAAGAGTATAATCACGTATGTGTCATCACTTTACAATGCATTACCACATATCAGCGAATTGAACAAGGTAAAAATATTTCCGTTTGAATGCTTTCATGTGTTCCTCAAATTGTCTCGTTTTTATTCATATCATGAGTCATACCATATTTTATCGATTTTCTCCTGTAGTCTTTATTTTTCACTTGCGGAACTCATCGGTGTTATTTTATCAAGGTTTTCATTTCTGAAAAAATTATTTAAAATTATCATATACTGCTAGCTACACATGTAGACGGCAGTTTTAAACATCAACTAACTAAAGCATTGAGACGAAATTGAAGTTCGCTGAATTATGCAGCTAATCAGACAATCGGATAATTAGATTATCTTCTTTTATCGTTTGTTTAGAACGGTGCTTACGCCATACTTGTTGATGTTTACATACCACTGATACACCGAACAATCCAAAAGAATGTTTTTTCGTTATTAAAAAGCTTTGTGGAAGTGTGATGTGTTTTGTGCTTGTGAGTGAATGTGTTTGTGCGTTCGTGCGATAACATAGTTATGAGCTGTAAGGGTACAATACAATCTGATAGCAATCAGTGAGAGCAGATGAAGCTGTGAAACAAGTCCGGTGCAGTACGGCATACGATTGCTCAGTATGTGCATTTGGCTCATTTTACTTTGTATTTTGTGAATGGATGATGCATCGCTCACTGATAGTGCCAGCCTTTGGCTATTTTTTCACTTTTTTACTGAATTTTATTTTGATTGTTTTTCGAAGTTATTATTCAGTTTCCATTCGAATTATTTATGATTACTTCATGTGTAAGCTGAGCAATTCCTAGAACCATCAGAGCTGATTACAAGCATTTTCGATAACTTAACTGTCATTCATTTGAATTCTTTTGTGATTATTCCATTTCGCTTAAGAAAGTTGGGTGGATCGCTGCATAGACTTTGCATGCAACGTTAGTATTAGCATATTCACCGTATGTATGGCTTGGCTGAATGTGATGAAATCTACGAAGCAAACTTTCTTAAAAAGCACAAAGGATCACAATATTTCGAAGGAAAGTTGTTATTGAGCTTTCTGTTATACCTAATGATTTTAATGGGACTTTTCACAAATTCGTTGACTTGATTTTAGTTTTCGTTTGCTTTTTGTTGATGGATACTGTATATTCCTTTTTGCTCGATTGTTTGAGTGTGAAGCTGATCAACAGTGAATGTGTTGAACCAATGAAGTTCCTCAATTAAGTATTGTTCATCATCGATATCCGTTCAACTTAATTCAAGAAACGGCTTTTCATTCATCTTTTTTTAAAATTCGTGTTTGTTTGTTTCTATGTGTGTTTGTATGTTGATTTTATTTGTCATATTTAACAAATACATATTTAACACCACCATTTTACTTATTTCGTTTCAAGTCGACTTTTGTCATTTTCCGTTACTTTTTTTCATGACAACTTGCTGAAGGAAGCAATCTTAATTCCTTGTCGTATAATTAATTTAGAATGTTTAGGTTTCATCTCGAAAATTGAATAGGAGTGGGATATAAGTTAATTCATAAGAGTGTTATTAATTGAGTAATAAATGGATGATTCTTGATTTAATGGATTAACTTAATGAAATTTTCGAGCAGCCAATTTCTAAGGATCCTAATATGAAGGTTGTTAGTGGCCATATTGGTCGTAGTTGGTAGTAATGATAAACGTCTTATGAGAAGTTCAGTATTTTGACCTAAATGCTGAAAGTGAGCTGTTTGTATGATTTTTGTTTTGCTTTAAAATGCTTCACACACACACACACATACACTCATATACGATTAAACTAATTAATAAATAACATTACTTGTTCATTGATGAATATACATCAATTTGTTTTGTTGATGTGTTTTTGTGTTTATTTGAAGTATGAAGAAGAGATGCATGAGTATGAACGACAAGCATCTGATTGGTTACAATGGGTACAACATGCGATACGTCTGGTGAACGATCGACAAATGCCATCGACCGTAGACGAGTTGAAACGTTTGCAAGTGGAGTTGGAGCGTTTCAAAGAGGACGATCTGGTGGTGAAATTGAAGGAGAAACAACGATTAGCTGATCTATATGCTGAACTGTTTAATTTATTCGGTGGAACACAACACTTTGCAATATCAAATCACCTTAGCACATCCGCACTTGATCATGCATGGCAACAACTTTTAACGGCACTTTCTGAATGTTTCGTACTCATCGATGATACAACTAATAACCTGCATTTGGTAAGTTTAGATTTTATGAAATATCTGTTGTTTCATCTCGTCACGTTCAATTAATAAGTCGTTGTCTTCCTTTTGAGGATGAGATTATTTCTTTCGTTTTTTTACTGAGAAATCTTCGACTCGAATCGCATTGAATTAGTGCGCAATTCGAATACAACCTAAATTAGATTAACAAAGCACAATGGTAAGGGTACAATAACTAGAGTAATAACATTAACAATAAATGTATTGGGGTGGCAAATTTTTTTGTTTTTCAAAATTTGTGAGAACTCAGCTCAGAAAACTATGCCATTTGCTCTAGAAACAAACGTTACAAAAGTTTGCTTCAAAAAATTAGCCTGAAAGGTCGCTTGATGAAACTTTTTTGCCTGATCGTGAGGTATCTAACTGCATAGTATAGATGACGCAGCGTGTGAACCCAATTTTTACGATGATTTTTCATGGAGGTCGTTTGCAGTCTAAAGTAGAGGACGTTTGAGGATGAGGCCGTGAAAATTTCGAAAATTAAAGTTCATACTTTACGGCGGCGCATAAGGCGAAAAAAAAATCGACAATTCAGACCATTTTTTCGTAGTGAAATTTCAGTTTTTTTTTCAGATTGAAAGGTATGTTTTCATGTGTGGGATCACCACTTTTCGCACTTTAATTTTTTCGCATACAAATTTGCCACCCTAATTTTATAGAATTATTATTGTTATTGCTGTTGTGTGTCTTTGTGATATTTCGTTCATTTTTTTCGACCCTCTTTTTTTGCTTTTTTGACCAAATTTTTCTTGTTATTCATTCCTTTACTAATATTCGAGTGTGAAGGTTATTTTAACGTTCCATGTATGACACAACTAACATTTTGGTGAGCCTGCCGTCTTCCTTCACATAAAATTTTTAGCAGTTGAAGCACTGGTTTTTGTATTACAAATTGATAAATAGCACGTGCGAGGAGGATGTTGGTGAAAAGTTTACATTGGACGAATGCGATTTTTTTTATTTGTCTATGTAATAATTGAATTCGACAACGGAAGTTGGTGAGAAGAAAAGGTGAATGAAAGAAGATATGGCATAATTATAGGTTGAAGTTGTGTTTCTTGGGTTAGCATTTCAGCTGAGAAGAAACGGTTTATTCGATCCATCGATTGATTTGAGCTGTTCTAAATGCATGACTGATTAACTTAATTATGATACAACTATGTATATGTGATTTATAAAATATGAGTTGTTTCGTAGGTAGATTGGTTTGCAGCAATGCACCAAACTAATTAAACTCGATCCGAAAACATTGCAATCGTCTTGCAATGGTTTACCGCCCACAGCGTAGGTGCCACCAACCAAAAAGTGCACTTATCTATTCATCCAAAGTATAT